TCCCTAACGTTCTGTGATTCTGTGATTACCAATGTATATCTTGCTTGCTTCTTTTTTTAACTGTTAAATTTTGTTGTTTTCCTTTTTCCAGCCAATGCAATTTGAAGATGATGAACACGCACCACCAGCACCGCCCAACCCCTTCAGCCATCTCACAGAAAAGGAACTGGAAGAGTACAAGAAAACAATTGAGCGCAAGCAGCTAGGGTTAGAAGGTCAGTGGTGTGTTTTAAAATGTTGAGCTTTACATTTTAATAAGAAGTTCATTTCTAGTTTGAAAATATCTACTGTAAAAATCTATACATGTTAATTATTAGCATATTCTCTTGGCAACTGCATTGCTTTAGAAATAATTATTCCTTCAGACAGTAGAATTTTTTGTTAAATTTTTTCTTTTTTACTTTGGTTAATGCTAAAATTAAAACAATGACAGGTTTGCATAGAAACAGTGTTGGCGAAAACACACTTTAACATAAAGACTTTGTTCATCGTAGAGTAACTTAGGCTGAAAGAGCCCGTGAATGTAATCTTAGTCCAACCTCCTCCTCAAAAGTTGATTTTCAAGTTAGATCGAGTTGCTCAGGTCTGTGTTCAGCTGAGCTTTGAATTCCTGTAAGGATAACGACTCCACAACCAGTCTGGTAACCTGCTGCCAATTGTGGAAGTTTTGCAGCGTAATCTAGATGTTTTATGAATAGCTGACTCTGAAAAGTGACCTTTGTCACTTAGATTCTGAAATACATGGCAAGGTAGAAAAAGGCTCTGTGATCGCTGGGTTCTTTTTATACCTGTTTGGATATCGGAATTCACAGGAAAAGTCTGCCAGACTGTCACTTGGAAAGTGAAAAATCCCGTGATACGTCACATTTGGTACCACCATTTCAATTGGTTCTCCTTTTTCTGACCCTTGAATTCCAGTGGGTTTGAGGACACTTTTGTAACTTACTATTCCAGAAGTTTGAGATGTTTGTTCTTGGCTTCTTTAATATTTGTTTTATTCTCCCAATGTGCAAGACTCATCTACTTTCACTTTTTACTTCTTCTTTCAATACTGCTGTTCCATAAGGAACTACTAATTCGGTGTTGATAACACTATGCACTCTTGTTCACTAATACTGTGTGATGAAACTACTTTCCTATATATCTCGTTCAGGGCATAGCATAATAACTTACTATAACAGCAAGCTGTGTGACTTACAGCTAGATAAAACCATGGGGCATGCTACCTAGGATAAAACCCTGCTGCCCTTTTTTAATGCTTTCTGCTAAGGAACTAATATATAATGATTATTGGCAGATAAAATGTGTAAATCCATAGTTTATAGAGTTTAAAGTGTCTATTGTAACTTCTTGAGGTTGTCAGCATGAGCAACACAATGCTAGCGTAACTGTAAATCTTGTAGCACTAGCACTAATATTCTTGCTTGATTTTTACTTTTGCATGGCTACTAATTTAAATCTTGTCCTGCAGATGCTGAACAGGAATTATTCTCAGATGACGGTTCATCTGTGTCACAAATTCAGTCACAAACTCAATCCCCGCAAAATATCCCAGAAAAATTAGAAGGTATTCCATGCAATTTCTGTACAATGCCAATGGCTCTGATAACCAGAGTTATCCACCCTTCCACTGCATTCTTTACACTGCATGAAGTCGGCTGACCCAAAAAAAGCCCCCTTTCACCAAGTCTGGGTGGGACTCTGTCCAGAAAACTACTTTCCCCAATTTTTTTAAATACATAATTCTCACCAATGGAAAATAATGCAGGGCATACTGGAACTTAGATATTAATGAGGTGGAGGAAAGATATATTATATATTGACTTTAAATAAGGTGTTCAGATTTTTTGCCTAAGACTTTTCCAGCACAGTCTAAGGCATCATTTGGAAAGGGTAGTTCTGTAAAGACTTCTGTATGAAAAGGCTGCATTTTAATAAATTAGTCTCTTGCAGTAAATTGCAATTCTGAGTGTCCTTGAGACTGTATATGCTGTGTAGACTGTATTTGTATATACTGTATACAGCTTGAGCGGCATACCTACCTGGCAGAGATACGGATAGCTTTTTCAGCCCATTTTGCTTTAATGACATTTTCACAGTTATTTGTCTGTTTACAGATAAAGGGGGAAAAAAGCCACATCTAAGCTCTTCAGTTTTCATTCATCTGATCACAGTCCAGACTCGCAGACTTTGTTTCAATACTGTTTTTTTGGATGATAGTGTACCTAAATAATTGCAGTATTCTCTGTCCTTTCAGAAAATCATGAAGATCTCTATACACAGAATGCTAACCTAATATCCGTGGAGATGCCAGTTGTGGTGGTGAACGGCAAGGAAGACGCACATGACGTGGAAGAGGATCTCACCAAGAGGGTCAGTCAGTTAACCACTAGTACTGTGGAGAGCGTAGAGATTACGATTAAAAGCTCGGAAAAGATAGAAGAGGCCCTGTCCCCTGAAGGGTCACCTTCCAAATCCCCATCAAAGAAGAAGAAGAAATTCCGCACCCCATCTTTCCTGAAAAAGAGTAAAAAGAAGGAGAAGGTAGAAGTGTAAGTGCAGTTCTGTTGGGAGGAGACGTTGCACATTTTAAACGTTTAAGTTGACCATTAACAGTGTAGTGTTAGGGGTGTGCAGTAACTGGACTTTCAACCGAAACGAAAAGGAACTGGAAAAGGTTTTGCTTTAAAAAAAACCCAACCAACCAAACAAGCAACAAAAAAACCTTTCATGTTAATTGAAAATTAATTCATCTCTTGCTTAACTGTGTCCAAAATTGCTATGAGGGTTGGAAACATCCATTAGTTTCACGTAGAACTACACTGGCAGGTGCTCAATTACCGTCATAGCAAGATCAAACACCGTCACAGTGCAGCAGCAAGTTCTGCTTGGAGTGTTTTGCAGACCTTAAAATTTTCAGTACAGTTAAAGTCTTTATTAAAGTTACTGATGAGTGATCATACGACTTTTTAAAACTGCTGTCTCATTTGGTAACCAGATCACACATTTTTGTATTGTGATTTTTGACCATAGATTTTATGTTTCTGTACCCCTGTTGAAGTGGGTGCATATTAACAGCACACCTTTAAATCTTTTTTTAAGATTAGATCGTATAGAAATATTATACACTGGCACATAATATTAGGGGGGAAACTGTGTAAGAGAAAGTTTATTTGGAATTATACAAATGTCTAAAGAATTCCATTCTTCAATAACTTTTTTGCCAAATATTTCATTTTAGTGAAATATAATTTTTGAAGACTTCTTTTTTATTCTATCAGTTGGGGGGAGGGGGGAAACCCTTATTTTTCAAGAAGGGGGATTTTATACACTTACATTGATAATTTAGTTTAACTGGCAAAACAGAAAGAAGATTTTATATGTTCAAATGTTTGTATACCATTCAGTATAAAGGTATTATAAGCATGTGAACCAAGCATTTAATAGTAGAGTGTATTTAAGAATGCTTGGTTTAGAGTATACTTAAATATAATTCAGGAATCCAGGGACTTAGAAATCAAAGGATAAAAGCATATAAAATTGAACTGGATTCATCTTTAAAAATTACTTGTGGGTTGGTTTTTTTTCTCTCACGGTATTACTAATGAATGAAGAAAAATAATCTCTTAACATAACCAAATGAAGGAAACAAAACTGTTAAAAGGGAAAGTGAAATAGTAAGAAAATAGGAGGAGACAAAGAAAGTAAAAGCTTGGTGATTATTTTTTTTACATATATGATATGGATTGTGGGATATTTTTATTAAATCAGCAAAGTGACATTTCCATATTAGACGTTTTAAATAATTAGTATGGATTCATGCAGAGTGCAACACTTGGGTTTTTTTTCTTCACTTTCATTTGAATTGTAAAAGGGTCTCATGAATCTGTGTTGTCCTTTGGATGAACCCAGAGCAAATCAGAGCCTAGTGCCATGGGTAAGGGTGGTACTGCCACTTACTCATTTTTACTGATATTGTCATTTTAGTACTTTTACTGTATTGTAAATACAAACTAAACATAGAAATTAACATAGGGTTTTCTTCGCTGTGTCAAATTGTCTGTAAATCAGTCATCGCAATAGGAAGTACATCTTAAAGATCCATGTGATTCCCAAATTGCTGGTTGAAATATTATACAATATATAATTGTTAAATATGGCTGGAGAGTGGTTTGGCATGCAAAAATGTTGATTATAGCATGTTTGGGGGCTGGTTAGCTTTGACCGTGTAAGTGTGATAATGCGATGTTGGAATGGATCCTGGAAACAATTTTCTAGCTATCACTAAATACTGGAATCAGTGTTTTTAATCATAGTGGAAACTTTCAGTTGCTTACTTTTGTTTTTTATGTTCTACATTATTTGTGTTGTATTACAACATACGTAGAAACAGTAACCTGTGAACTACGCTTTTCATAACTTTTTTAAAAATATATCTAAATGAATGCAATGTGCATAAATATTTTTTAAAATGCAACCGTGAACTATTTGCACCTTTTGCTAATGCCTCTATTTACTTGCTTTGGCATAAAGAATGAGCCAGCCAACTCTTGTGTCCTGTGGAAAATATATAAATGTTATCTGAAATTGCTCATAGATGTAATGCTAATTAATGTTAAATCACAAATAAACAGTATTTTAAATAGATGGATTTTGTATAGCAGCCTTTTCTTTACATCTCTCGCTTGTAGAAAAGATGCTTTGATTACGCACATTACTTCTCAAGAATTTATTTTTAAGGTGGCTTCTTGCTTGTGCTTATTCCGAGATCATTGCCAGAAAATAGTCTGATCTTGTTAGAGAGCAGTTGTTTTCTCGGTAATATACTAAAAAATACACAGTGCTGTCAGGAGGTTGTTTTGGACCCCGGTTGAGTTTGTGCTGCGGGCTCCCTCTCCCAGGGCAGCATCCCCATCTCGGTCATGTGCTGCTCTGCAGCATGGGTTTACGTGCAACGGCCTGAGACACAGGACTCGGGTGGTTTAAGTGCTGGGTAAGTACAGAGCAGGGAAGTAGCTTGTGAAAATTACTACTTTTTCTTTTATTAATGAGAACAAAGTTTTTTGTAGGGAAGGCTTTTATTGCAAAGTTATTTGAAGCCATCTGTGTCATGCCTTGCCGGCATATGGTATACCTCGGAGTCTCTGAGACTGCAGACGTGGCAGTGTTCTGTTTTTACAGCTATATCAACTCTGTGAAATGTCTTAAAGAACTTCGACAAATGTTTATTTTCATTGTCCTTCCACAAATCAGCTTTTTGTTTCTGTTTACAAGATAGTCAAAATCCAGCCCTCCAAGTCCGGTGACAGTTTCATGAACTCAGTCTCCATGTGGGAGGATAACTTTGGTTCAGCATTTTAAATAAATCTTAATGAAGATTCAAGCAATTTTCTCACTGTCATTTGTCTCCAGAAGCATCTACAGTCTGCTTAGTGCTGCACTAACATGAAAGTAGACACTGTATCAACATGGAGGAGCCTACGTTGTAAGGCTAAGTGCATCTATGGTTTTCGTCTTTGGACTCTCTTTATTTCCAAGAGTTGATGAACCACAGCAGATCGTTCATCTTCACTTAAATCCTTCACAGTGTTACAAGAAGGATCTGAGATTCTGCAAGCCAAAGTGTGGAAATAAAGTAGATGTTCATAGCAGACATAACATATATTAAGGATTAAATCTTGGGAAGTTGGAGCATTTGTAGAGACTGTCTTCAAAACTGCTGTGATAGGAAATAATTACCGTTAGGATGCTTAACTCAAGAAAAAGCAATACAGAGAAGCAGCAGTGTATGCTGTGAGGGGTTACGTGCAAGCTACTGCCTAAGAACTTTAATAACAAAAGATTTATAAATCTGTGCCTTTCTACCCCACTTTTGTCTATGCATGGCAATACTGAAATCTGTACTGCGATCTGGATGCTCACTTGTCCACTTCTTTTACAGACACTGGAGATGAGGGTTACATATCAAATCAGGTTTTGTTTGATTTGCAAAAATTACAGAATGAGGTATACTTTACATTAAGCTTTACTTCCTGCAAAGAGACAGGATAATGTGGTGAAGGTAGTAATAGGCCATTTTGGCCAGTATTTTCCTGTGTTGCCAGTTGATTTATTTTATACTCTTGAGCACACAGCACAAATTGCTGTATTCTCTGGTGCTCAGTAGTTGAAGATTTGCTATTTTCTGGAAGTTGAGTTTGTGAAACTGTTGAGTTTTCACTGTTTTCAGCCTGTGGAGACTTCTCAAATACGATGTACTGCTCAGTAGCCAGAGGCAGGGAGAAAGGGCCACTGTGTCCCGGGCTGGGCACGTGCATCTGATGGAAACTTCTGACGTGAGCACCCGTGTTCCTCCTTTCCCTCCCTGCAAACTGGCAGGGAAGGACAACCCCTCTCCTGCAGGGCTGCTGCTGCGTGGGTTGGTGTTTGTTCTTTCAGAGATCCAGTCTGTTAAATGAGGTGAAGGACTCATTGAAAAGCACTAATTAGGAACCGCCTGGCCATGTGTGTGCAGGCGGCTGGACCGCAGTCAAGCTCCTCTGTGGGCATTGCCTCATGCGTGACACAAATGGGTTGAGCAGCCCAGCGGGGAAGGCCGGGAGGGCATTTTTGGAGATGGTGGCTTCTGACATTTTAGCTGCCACAGAGCATGTATAAACTATTTTTAGAGACTTGCAGATTGGCTGAACTTGCACAGACTCTTAGAGGAATAGAAGGAATCACATCCCAGCATAAAGGTTGCTCAGCCCTTTGCCACAATTTCTCATCTCAGTTGCAAAGCCAGCAGCAATTTAGGTTTCTGAAAGGAAAGATTGCCAGAAGGTAATGTGGAGAATTGTATTTTTCTACAGCCTTGTTCTCTGGAAGCATTTGATTACGTTGGCTTTACGTTTTATGTGTGCCAGCAGTACGTGCAAACACACCCGAACGATTTTAACCTGGACCAGCACAGAGCATGGAAAGTTTAAGATAAGTTTGATCAACTTGTAAGCAAACAAAACAAAACCTGATGATGAGAACTGGAGGGCAAACCTGGTTGCAGCATATGCTGCCAGCCCTGTTCATGCAGCCCAGCTCTGGTATTACCCATGTAGGTGTTTATCCTTTAAACACACTACTATTTCTGCAGTGGTGGGAGCTACACAGGGCAAGTATGCTGAGCCAGGGGGTTAGAGAAGGTATTTCCTTGGATGCGTTCTCAAAGCCCCTTTACAACTGGTTGCACCTTTCTTCTTTCTGTGTTTGCAGGGAACGATGTAAATTCAAGAGTTCGCACTGAAATAAATTGTGATGGAGAGTCCCAAACACAGCCTTTGAAAGGTGAAAATTCGAGCGGCCTTTAGGTGGCATCAGACTTTCACGTTTGCTGTCTTCATTCCCCGCAGTCAGAAAGCCATTAACAAAGAGCTTTCAAAGAAAGTATTTTGCTGGAGATTTTGTGGGCTTTATTCCAGTTCCAGCGCAGCGAGATGAAAGCAGACATCTGGCTGTTGGACTCATTTACTTTACTGATACATTTCAAAATCCAGCAATGGAGCGGGCTTTGTCCGGGAGGAAGGGAAGACTCCTCTGCACCCCTCCATCCTCTTGCACTTTTGCAACTAGCTAAGAATATATATAAGAATATATATAAGAACATATATATATATGTGTGTTGCACTTGCAAACTCACTCCACTGAGCAGAAGAATATCCTTCTGGTCCATATTTTCTCTCTAGCAACCTTACCCACAGATCAGAGGGCTCTCAGCATTTCTGGATGGCTGGGGCAGAAGCAACAGGAGACCCAGTGTGAGGTGTGCAGGGGGGACAGGGCTGAGAGTGGCAGAGCTTCAGCTGCCTTGGTGTTGGGGCAGGGCCTTGCTGATCACCTCCCCAGGTGAGTATCAGGTATTGTGAATGGAGAAGCAGAAGTTAGGGCAGCTGTGTCTCTAGGAAGGTCTACAGTGAAGGAAGATACTTTAAAATATTATAAAACAATAAAATAATAATTAAAAGACTAGATT